CCTAGGACTTGTGCCTATTCATGTGTGTGCCCTTGAGCACACTCATTTCCGCCGCATCAGCGAGGCGGAAGAGCAGATCGATAATATTCCCCCCCCCCCCTCTTCCTAATAAACAGCTCCCCCTTGTCGCACGACAAGACGCGCGCGCGACCTGCAGCACCCCTGCGGTGCCAACCTCCTCCGTGCCCGTCCTTTATCTTGTTCTTCTCTCTTCCTCCCTCATCCTCACCCTCGCCCTCCTGCTGCTCCTCCGTCTTCTCCCCCTTCTCCTCTTGCTCCTCACCCTCCTACTGCTCCTCCGTCTTCTCCCCCTTCTCGTCTTGCTCCTCACCCTCCTACTGCTCCTCCGTCTTCTCCCCCTCCTCTCCTTGCTCCTCCTCTTGCTCAACTACATCCTCATCATCAGCAGCAGCAGCATCATCATCATCATCCTCCCCATCCGCCGCCTCCTCATCAGCAGCATCATCAGCATCAGCATCAGCATAATCAACCTCAAACCCTCATCCGCCGCCTCCTCATCATCCTCCTCATCCTCCCAGCATCATCATCATCATCATCATCATCATCATCATCATCATCATCATCATCATCATCCTCATCATCATCATCATCATCATCATCCTGATCATCCTGATCATCCTCCTCATCCTCCCCATCCGCCGCCTCCTCATCATCATCAGCATCATCAGCATCATCATCAGCATCATCAACATCATCAACATCAGCACCACCAGCATCATCAACCTCAAACCCTTGACGCGCTGCCACCCCATCACAACTGTCGTGTGTCTTCTCTCCCTCCGTGGACGAGAGACGAAGTGCCCTGTGATCACCCTGTTGTCGCCTCTCCTCCTCTTCTCAAATCGAACACTTCCCACCTCTTCGGTTCTCCTCCGAGCATTTCGACATCCCTTTCGAACACTCTCCTCCGAACACTCCGTCCTCCTTCCCCCTTGCCCGTGTCTCCTTCCCAATCCACGCCCTTCCCCGACCTCCTCTTTCCCTCTTCCTCCTCGTCCTCCTCCTCCTCCTTCTCCTTCTGACGGTGCCGGCACTTGAACCCCAAGAGATGTTGCCATCTCCTTCCCCTCTTCATATTCATCATCCTCCTTCTCCTCTTCCTCCTCCTCCTTCTCCTCCTCCTCCGTCCTCTTTGTTTTCCCCTCCTGGCGCTATCCTCCTCGTCCTCCTCCTGCTTGTGCTCTCCCCCTGCGCGAGGCCCCGCATACTCCTCCCTTCCTCCTGCTGCCCCCCTCTTGCTCCCCGCCCACGACCCTTCGCGCCGGGACCCCGGGTCCGGAAGTGCGCGCCCAAGGATCTCCCCTGCCCCGCAGCGCGGAAGCCCGCTGGTTTGCCTGTCCGTCTTCGGGGGGGAAGCGGGCCCAGACATCCTCCGAATTGAGGTTTGGTCCATCCGCGGCCACCAATTCGCAACCGAAAGGTGCTGTGCTCTAGGCCTCCTAGATGGGGTCAGAGTAGATCAGATGGGGTCGGAGGATCGCGCCGCATCGCCGATGCATCGGCGATGCATCGGCGAGGCGGCTCGATGTGGGGCCCAATTTTCTCCGCCGACGTCGCTGATGCATCGCCGACGTCGCCAGTGCATGGCCGAAGCATCGCCGATGCATCGCCGATGCATATACTCTGACTCCATCTGGGAGGCCTATATGTTGTGCTGAATAGAGAGGGAGCGCTTGCACAGAAAGAGTACTCGCGCGAGTCTTGTGCGGAGGTCATGTGCGGGGGACGCTGTGCGCCTGGTGCTGGGCTCTTGTGGATGCCCTTGGGACTGGGCCCGCGCGCCCGTGGTGCTCAATGCAGGAGAAGGGGGAGGCGCCGAATAGGCGTGATAAGCACGCCCCCATGGCACAAGACCCAGATTGTGCGCCCTGAGCGCTGGCACCCTTCGCTCTGGCGCTCTTCCTGTGAAAAAGTGTGTGCACAACACGTCGCATGCCGACGGAACCAGACGTGGGGCTGTCGCGGTCGGCGTCGACTTCGGCGTGGGGAGACGCGTCGACTTCGGCCAGATCTCGGGCCCCGAGCCCTCGTGTTCAGCTCTCGCGCCCCTGCGGGCCAGCGCCGGCGTCGAGGACTTCTGCCCGCGCGCACGTGCTTAATGCAGGTTGCACGAGGCCTCCTGGCTGGGGTCCGAGCAGATGGGGCCGGAGGATCGCGCAGTATCGCCGATGCACCGCCGATGCGGCTCGATGTGGAGCCCGTGTTTCCCCACGCCGACGTCGCCGATTCATCGCCGACGTCGCCGATGCATCGCCGATACATCGGCGATGCATTGGCGATGCGGCACGATCCTTCGACCCCATCTACTCGGACCCCATCTAGGAGGCCTCTAGGTACACTGTCTGTTTGCCCTCCACAAGTGCACATGATGAACACCACTCTCCTCTCGTCCCTGACCCTGTGCGGAGGATGTTCGAACCTCTCCGCGTAGTGTCTTTTGCGCGCAGGATTGCCAAAGTTGTCCGTGTCCCATGCGTTGCTACCGTTCGATCGCTTTCAATGTTTCAAAACGGTGTTATTACCACTGAAGCGTGGGCCTCATTTTCGGATGGCGCTCTCGCCCCAGCACAGGCCACTTTTATGTGTCCAAATCCTGATTCATCTTTGTCGCCCCCTCATTTCCCCTCCTCTGCCTTCCCCTGGTCCTCCTGCTCCTCCCAATCCTTCCACTCTAGTTCCTGCTGCTGCTAATGTGCGTCCTCGTCCTCCTGCTTCTTCCTCATCCTCCTCCTTTTCCTCTTGCCCATGTTCCTTCTCACCCGGCACCTCGTCCTCATTGTCCTCCTCAGTTTGCAGCTCCCCTTTTTCCGATTGCGCATAACACGATAGGGGTCTTTGGGGGAGTACCAGGTGGGCTATGACGCTCGTCCGCGGATAGAGAGAAAGCAGCGCAATGGGCAGGGATGGGAGGGAGGGATCGGATTTCGGATCTGGCGCGAGCGCACCCAGATTGTCCTCCCACCTCTCTCCTCCCTCGCCTCCCCTCCCCCTCTCTCCCTCCCCCCGGCCGTGGCAAGCATGCGTGCCGACGTATGTTCCGCGAGCTCGCGACCGTGCCAATGGGCACACCCCGTTCTGCTCATGCCTTCGCGCCCTCTCGGGCGCACGGCTCTGTGCCCCATTGGTCCGCCCGCGGCCCCAGCACCCCCCACACCTTCCCCGGGGGCAGGCCCGCGCCCCGGGCCCCGCCTGCCCCCTCCAAGAAAAAAACGCCGCGCGCGCCCAGCGCCGAGGCCCTCCGCGGTCGCGTGGGGCCCCCCCGGGGGGCCGCAGCGGCCCGACGTCCGCCGCGGCCCGGGCGGCCCGATGGCCGCGCCCGCGGCGCGCGGCGCGCGCCGGGGCGGGCGCCGCGCGGCGGCCGCCGCGGCGCTGCGCGGCGGCGGCGCTGCTCGCAGCGGGCCGCGGCGGGCAGCGCCGCCCTGGTGCCCGGGCCGCCGGGCCGGCCGAGGCTGCCCGGGGAGGCGGGCGGGGCGTGCGCGGCGGGCCCAGCGCTGGCCGGCGGCTGCGCGGCCGCGGCGGGGCCGGCGGTGGCCCAGGCCCAGGCGCAGGCCCGGGAGCAAGGGCAAGCTATTGAAGGCGGCGTGCATGGCTTTGGGGCGCTGGCGGGCTCCCCAGACCCCCCTCGAGTCACGAAAAGAGCACGGCGCGAGGTTTTTCGCTATTTTGGGCCTCTGGGGGCCCTTTACCGGGCTTCGGGACCGGCAGAACACGACTCAGGATGGAAAAAACCGGTCCAGGGGAATGGGTCGAGATCTCTGAGGGTCGGCGTTATGATAAGATCATGATGTCGGGGGTCTGGGTCGGGATCCCGCAAAGGGGGATGTGCCCCGGGGGGGGGGTCGATCGGTTTTTGCACCGAGCCGCCCAAAAAAAGCAGACGCTCCCCCCCAGCCGCAGGCGGATCCCGATCGTTGCCGACAGGTGGGGCATGCGGGAGGCATCGGTTTGCGGCAGCTCGGTGCACCAGCGATCGAACTCATGCCCCCCCTCCGGGTCACCCCCTCTTTTTGGTGGATCCCGAGTGTGGTTTTGGGACGCTTTCGGCCCCTGGGGACCTTCGCCGGGCCCGGGGCCGTCAAAAAATTTGGCTCGGGATCAGAGACGCCCGCAGCGCCGCGGCGTCGCTCGGCGACCCAGGTCTCCGAAGAGATGCTGGTTGCCAATCCTCGAGTTCCCCCCCGCCTCTGGCACTCGGCCTCGACGATGGGGACTCTCGCCAGGTCCCAGGGGCTGTCAAAACAGAAACACAGCTCGGGCTAGGAAGCTGGCCCTGAAGAAGGAGAAGGGACACCGAGTGCCCCGTAATTATTCGAAGAATGAGAAACGCCATAAACATAAATGGTTTGCGCTCCGCGCGGATGTCTTGGATCCGCGCTGGACCCCCCTGGCGGCGCCTCCGGCGCCGCGCGCCAGGGAGGGGGGCCCCAGCGCGGATCCAAGAAGTCCGCGCGGAGCACCAAAAGTCGGAGCTCGTGGCGTTTGTTCTTCCTCCACGTGTGCAAAAGTCGAGGCGTCGGGCCGCGGGGCCAGGCCCCGGCCCGCGGCGTCGCCCGGCTGTGTGCGAGAGCGGCCCTTTGCCAGGGTGGCCTCGGGTGCGGGCAGGGGCTGGGGCTCGGCGGCTGGGGCTCCTGGGCTCCTGGGCTCCTCCTCCTCCTCCTCCTCCTCCTCCTCCTCCTCCTCCTCCTCCTCCTCCTCCTTCGGGGGCAGTCCCGGGAGCTCCCGGAGAGCGCGCTCGCCGCCACGCCCGAGGATCCCCAGGGCGCGGGCAGCTGGGCGTCACGCGAGAGGTCGTGGCGCGACAGGCTGCCTTCAAGCCGCGGGTGCCTCCAGGATCTAGCTGGCTGGCCGCCGTGCGAGCCAGGCTCAGGCGCCCAGGACGGGCTCCTCCTCCTCCTCCTCCTCCTCCTCCTCCTCTCCTCCTCCTCCTCCTCCTCCCTCCTCCTCCTCCTCCTCTCTCTCTCTCCCTCCCCCCTCCTCCTCCTCCTCCTCCTCCTCCTCCTCCTCCTCCTCCTCCGCATGGGGGAGGGAGCAGAAGGTGGCACAGCTCACCATCCTGGTGTGGCCGTGCGTGCTCGCAGCGCGTCCGCCCTGCACTCCTTCGAGCTGCGCTCCTGCTTTTTCGGTTCGCTCTGGGCCCATCCGCCGACCAGGGGAGGGGCGCGCTCCTCAGCTCGGGCCCAGGGCGCCGTCGAGGAACGACGCGCGGCGAGCAGCTGATCCTGCGGGGAGGGGGCCGAGACCTCCCCCGGGGGGCCCACGCCGCGAAAAAGCGATGACGGCGTCGGGTGTGTTCGGGACCGCGGCGCGCCAGGCCCAGGGGGTGCCCTTCCAGCTCTTTGGCTACGGCGCCGCCGAGATCTTCCCACTCTCGAACCTGAGCCTGATCACCTGGCTCCTCCTGGCCTGCGTGGGCGAATAGCATATCCGTATCCGCGGCCTCGCGGGCCCCTGGGCCGCGACTCCGCGGATATGGGAAGCTTTTTCGCGGATGCGCCGCGCGGGACGTATCTCTGCGACCGCCTATCCGCGGGATCGCGCCCCGGAATCCAGACCGCAAGGGCGTGGATGTGAATGCGGTCGCCGCCCGTGAGGTCGTCCTGCCCGGGTGGGAGTACACCCGGTACGCGGCATTGATCGCCCCCGTCGTCAACGCCCTGCTCTACGCGGCCGCGCTGGTACACCTGCTGACCCACCCCGCGCCAGACGCCCCCCCCGTGGACTTCGGCTCGCTCGACGGCATCGTGACCGCGTTCCGCAACCCCGACGGGGTGCTCGCGGGGTGGCTGCATTACTGCGTCTTCGACCCCCTGGTGGGCCTGGGCATAGTCCTGGACAGCCAGCAGCAGCGGGTCTCGCACGCCCTGGTGGTGCCCTGCCTCTTCCTCACGCTCCTCTTCTCGGCGGCGAGCGAGGGGGGAAGTGAGAAGGAGAAGGCCGTCTGACCAGGTTCGGAAGTCCCCTGGCCTTCTGAGAAGTGTCCTTAGCCTTCCAGGAGGACCGAACAAACTTCTCGGAAGGCACGAGGGCTTCTGAGAAGCCCCGCCTCTTTCTCTGAAGGCCTTCTCCTTCTCACTTCCCCCCCCTCGCTCGCCGCCGATCTTCGGCCCCGTCGGCTTCCTGTCCTACCTCGCGCTGCGCACCGGCACGCTGGCCCTCCGGGGCGGCGCCGGAGGAGGCGGCGCCGGGCAGGCGGCGTGAGGCGAGCGGGCGGTGCTGTTTTCCAGGCGGCGTCGGGGTGGGCGGCCGACCGCACCAGGCTTCCTCGCCTCGGGCAAAGTCGGATTGACGAGCGAGCAAAACACACCCATACCCACAGGTGGGTCGTTGGGAGGAGGACTGGCGATGGTCGCCATAGACATCCACTTTTGGCGCTCCGCGCCCGCGCTGGGTCCCCCTTGGCGGCGCCTCCGGCGCCGCCCCGGAGAGGGGGGTCCGGCGCAGATCCGAGAGATCCGCGCGGACCGTCAAAAAGTTTATGTTTATGCCGTTTTCTCTTCGTCTAGCACACCCATACCCATAGGGGGGTTGTTGGGAGGAGGATTGGCTATGGGTATAGGTGCGGGTTGTCAAAGCCCAGGGGGGCGCTCCCGTTCGAGCGGGGACCCCCATCCGACAACACGCACCCATAAAGCTCTCCAACCCCCCCTGGGTACGGGTCTGTTCGCTCGTCAATGATGGCGGCCGGGTTTGGGCAATTTTCGGCCTGTGGAGGCCCTCGCCAAGCCCTGGGGCCTTGAAAAACGATTCGGGATGAGAACTTGGTTCCGGGGAATGGGTCGCGACCTCTGGCGGTCTAGGTTTTAAAGAAAGCGTAACGTAGGGGATGTGTGGCTGGAGCAGGTAGACATTTTCGGCGGGGGCCAGGGCATCGCTGCTAGTTGCTTCCGACTCTCCCCCGCCCGTTTTGTGTGCGTTCGGATTGTTTTCACAGTGGGCGCGCGTGAGCTCACTCAATCACTCGTCCAACTCCTCTTGCGCCTCCTCTTCCACCTTCTTCCCCCCCCCCATGCCTCCTCGCTCCCTCCTCGCTCCCTCCTCGCTCCCTCCTTTGCCCGTCTCACCTTTCCCACATGCTCCCCCATCCTCCACCCTCCCTTCATCCCTCCACCATCCTCCATCCGTCTCTCCTCCTCCTCCTCCTCCTCCTCCTCCTCCTCCTCCTCCTCCTCCTCCTCTTCCTTCTCCTTCTCCTTCTCTCTCCTCTTCCTCCGCCTCCTCCTCCTTCTCCTCGTCCTCCTCCCCCTCTTCCTCCTCCTGGGCACCGGGCCATTCACGGCATGAGAATCATCCATGGATTGCGCCATATCGTCTTCCTCCTCCTTCTCCTTCTCCTCCTCCTCCTGCGCCTCCATTCCTTTTCCTTATAAATACTTCCTCCCCGTCGCACCCCGAGGCCGGTCGAAAGGGCGGGCCGGGCGTTTCGCTTGAGACTTTTCATTATTAGTGACCTGAAGCTTGAAGATTGGCAGCAGCTTCACAAATGGAGGGCGAGTGGTTTTCAAAATGTGGCTCTCGGCTTAGCGCCGCCCTTTTTAAATAATTTCTGATGGAGGGCGGCCCGTTTTCAAAATGTGGTTCTCATTATAGCGCCGCGCACATGTTCCGAAAGTTTGGCAACAGCTTCACGGATGGAGGGCGGGTCGTGCTCAAAATGTGGTTTTCGCATTAACGCCGCGCACATTCGTTTAAATGTTGCAAGAGTTTCTAGGATTGAGGGGGTCGACTCTCTCTCGCGCCATTTTGGCTGCGTTTCCTACCCGCTCGTGGTGCTCTCGTGCACGCTTCAAGTTCTACCTGTTCGGCAAGGGTGGCTCTCGCTCCCTGTTCTCGTGCTCTTCGTCATCGGTCACGCTCTTCACCAGCGGCAGCTTCGCGGACTGGGCGGTACTTTTGTAATACCTCTTCTGCCTGCCGTGCTCCTCGCTTGCGCGCCGCACTGAGTGCTCCGCCCCGCGCCGGTCTTTGCTCTCTGCCCTGGCGTTGCCTTTGCAGGCGGCATAGCCTGCCCCTGGTTGCTCGGCGCCCGACTCGCTTTGTTCGCCCGCGAACCAAAAAGCACCCCCACCAGCCCATCCAGAATCGACGGCCAGGCGAATTGAGGTGATCAGGTAAGCGCAGGAGCAAAGAGGGGGACCGCCGAACCGTTTGAAGTAGAGGAGAAGGAGGAGGATGGATGGATGGATGAGGGAGGAGGGAGAAGGATGTTGCATAGGACGAGAAAGAGGAGGAGCAGGAGGAGGAAGGAGGAGGAGGGCGAGCAAAGGGGCCCGGGCCTCTTGGACGCCTTTTCGGAGTCTCGTCGGATATCTCTTGGGCGCCGTTGTTCGGCCTGTTGGAGCGTTTCGGGGGCCCCTTGGCGGTCCAGGGAGCTCCTTGGGCGACTTGGGCGCATCGGGGGGGGGGGCTCGTGGGGCCGTTGGGGAGCCCTGTGAGGGCCTCTTGGGGGCCTCTTGGGGCCATCTTGGAGCCTCCTGGGCGCTTCTTGGGGCCATCTTGGAAAACATCGATCAAAAAGGGGGGGCATTTCATTAGCGTCGCCCCTTCAGTGCGCCTACAATCGCCTCTTGGGGCGCTCTTGGGGCCGTCTTGGCGCTCACTTGGGCCTCGTTTGGGGCCTTTTTTCGGGCCACTTTGGAGCCATCTTGAGGCTTCGGAAGGCCAGCAGACCCAAAAAGGCGAGAAATCACGAATCACGGAATGTCCTGGGGATGTTGAAGGATGTCGGTTTCTTGAGGGCCTCCTTGGGGGATTCGGAGGCCTCCTGGAGCCGTTTTGGGGGTATTGAGGCCTCTTGGAGCATCTTGGAAGCCATCTTGAGTGATTTTGCATCTTGAGCCATATTGGAAGTCATCTTGGGTTTTCTAAGGCCCTCCTGGAGCCGTCTTGGGCCATCTTGCCGCCGGAACGGGAAGAGGGGGGTTGGAAGAGGAAACTCCGTAGACCACCCACGCCCTAAAAGGCTGGTGGGATTTTGTTAGAAAAGATTCCGGGCAGCGAGGGCGCAGCAGCTACGTTGATTCATTGTGTTGAAGTCCCAGGAATGGTGTTCTGGCAAGATGCAGGGACGTCAAAACGCAACCGCCCGGTTTATCCGCGGCGTTGGAGTCCCGAGAAGTGTGTTTTGGCATGGTTCCGGATAGTCAAACGGCTGTCTTGGGCAATTCTTTCCGTGGAAATGAATCGTTGTAGTGGGCTACGAAGAGAAAGTTTGGAGGGAGCGTTTATTCCAACATCGTTGATGGGTCTTGGGTTACACTGGTCCTTTTTATCCTCCTCCTCCCCCCTCTCCTGCTCCTCTTGCTCCTCGTCCTTCTCCTCGCGTTTCTCCTTTTTCATGTTCCTTACACATAATTCCTCCCTGTCGCACCCCGAGGCCAGTCGGAAGGGCAGGCTGGGCGTTTCGCTTGAGATTCTTCTACCGTGTAATATCCTGAAGCTCAAATGTTGGCAACACCTTCACGAAACGAAGGCGGGTCGTTTTCAAAATGTGGCTCACGCTTAAGAGCCGCGCACATTCATTATGAAAATTTGCACGAGCTTCACGGATTGAGGGCGGGTCGTTTTCAACATGTGGTTCTCGTATGTAGAACGGCTATGTTTCCAAACGTGTCTCTGGCACTAGCGCCGCGCACCTTAGTTTTCCAAAGTTGTAGGAGCTTCGCAGATCGAGGGCGGCTGCATTTCAAAATGTGGTTTTCGCCTTAGCGCCGTGTACACTCGTTTTAAACGTTCGCAAGAGTTTCACGGAGTGTGTTGGAACGACTCTGGACTCTTAGGGCGTACGTTGATTCGCAGTGTTGAAGCCTGAGGAATGGTGTTCTGGCACGATTCAGGATGGCCAATACGCAACAGGCATGTGCTTCGTGGCGCTGAAATCATGAGAATGGTGTTTTGGCACGCTTCAGGATCTTCAAACGGTTGTTTCCCAACGGGGCATTTCCCTCAGTGAAGATGAATCCTTGCAGGAAGTTATAAAGAGGGAACTTGGAGGAAGGATTTACTTCGTCGATGAGTATTGGTTCACTGGTCTTCCTCTTTCTGTTCATCCTCCTCGTCCTTCTGCTCCCACTCCCTCTCCTCATCCTCCTCTTCCCTCTCATCATCATTAACAGCATCATCATCACCTTCGCTTATCCCTTCCGTCATCATCTTCGCTCCCTCCCCTCCTCTTCCTCCTCCGCCCCATCATCCCTGCCCCCATCCTGAACCTCACAGGATGGCCAGGCACACGCGAACGGTACCCCCAGGGCGGCCGGAGCTCTTCTCCCACCGCCCGCGCGCCAGCGAGACCGCCGCCGTCGGCGTGCGCCGTGGATCTTCTTCCCTGAACGTAAGGGTGGCCATTCGCCGGCTTAGCTCTGGTGCGAGCCCACCGTCTCCCCATCGTTGCACGCGATGCGACAGCAGCCGCTTGCTCGCTGGTTTGGCCACCGCGCGCCCTCCTGTACCGCGCACCAAAGGTCATTCCTACCTGGGGTCATTCGTGCATATGGCCGAAGGCCTGCGGAAGCGAGAGAGTGAACCGAAATTGGCGACCACGAAAAGTCCTCAGTCCTTGTCAGACGAGGCCAGACGCACCGCGGAGCAGACGCACCTCGGAGCTGGGTCTTCGGAACTCCACCCAGGACAGGGGCCCAGTCTCTGCGCATGTTGCGACCGGAACCATGACCTTGATGCCTGGCGCATTCACCGTCCCGGGCCCAGGGCCGGCCTGGCAAGCACGGGTGCTGGTGCATCGACGGCGTCCGCCCATCCCAACCTCGACCCTCCCCCCCTTCCCTTCCCCCTGCTCGTCGTCGTCGCCGCCGCGGCCGCAGGCCGCGCCGCCGTCCTCCGCGTCGTCCGCCGCCGCACGACGCCGCCGCCCACGCCCCCCTCCCCCTCGTCGCCGCCACCGTCGTCCCCCGCGCGCCGCACGCCGCCGCGGGCCGCCGCCCGCCCGCCGCGGCGGCAGGACGTGGCCTGCCGCTGCGCGGCCGCTGGCGCCCGCGCCGCGCGGCTGCCACTGCTGCTGGCGCTGCGGAGCTGGCTCGCGCACGTGGGTAGCGGCCTCGGCCGCCGCCGCCGACGACGGCCGCGGCGGCGGCGACGGCGGCGGCCGCGTTGGCGGCAGCCCTTTCTCGGCCACGCGCCAAGGGGGGGGGGGTAGGAGGCGGGGGGAAGGCTTCTCAAAAGCACCCATGGTTCTTCGAAGGCGCGGGCCTTGCTTAAGGTAGGGCCAGCGGCCTCCTAAGAAGCCTTACCCCCTCCCCTTACCACCTTGTGCGCGCCGCCAACGTTCCTCGAGGAGTAAGCAAACGGCATAGACATGATGTCGCGGAGCTCCGCGGAGATCTCTGAAATTGGCGCCAGGCCCCCTTGGCGGCACCTCCAGCGCCGCTCCTGGCGCGCTCCGTGCGCCAAGGAGGCTGGCCTAGCGCAGATCCTAGAGATCAGCGCAGACCTCCAAGAAATGTTGTTGATGTCGCTTGCTTGCTCCTCTCAATATCCTCGGAATCTTGATTGGCAGTGGTCCGCAACTCTTCCTCCTCCTCCTCCTCCTCCTGCTCCCGCTCCTGCTCCTGATTCTCCTCCTCCTCCTCCTCCTCCTCCTCCTCCTCCTCCTCCTCCATTCCTTTCCCTTACAAGCAATTCCCTATCGCGCCCCAAGTCCAGACAGAAGGGCGGGCTGGGCGTTTCGCCTAAGCCTTCCTAACCGTGTATGGTCCCGAAGCGTTGAAAGTGGCAACAGTTTCATAGATGGAGGGGGGCGATTCCAAAATGTAGTTTGCGCTTCAGCGCCGCGCAACGTTCGCTTTGAAGTTTGCAAGAACTTCACGGATTGAGGGCGGGCCG